ACAGTCCTATCTACGTGCCATGTTAGATTGATGCAAAAATATTAGTATACGCTATTCTATCTACGTAACATGTTAAACAAATACGTCTCAAAGCTTATGACATTAAAGAGAATAGAAAATTTATTTATTTATTTATAGCTTATTTTCCATCATTTACACATCAACACTTATTGAAGGTTGCAAGGCCAGAAAAATTGAGATTTTAGTATATTACCAAACGGGAAACTAGGGGAGAAGCCAATGAAAAAGTTCAATTATTCATTATTACTGTCTCCCATCCAGAAAACAAACGGTTGACATTTCAGATTAATGATTGTTGGCTAAAAATAAGAGGGTTCTGGCATATCTAGCAATAAATCGAATCGAATCGAAAGATGAAAGAGTTTACATAATCGATCCCAAATTAATCAAGAACGAAGCTTAGTTCGTTATTACTTTACGTTTATTACGTTATACATTTTTATCTCATGCTCATAGTTAAAGTTCTGTTTATTCTGTGCACATAATCAGCTACCGATGCAGAAGAAGAAGCAAACTATCCACCTAAAAATGCAGAAGGCCACCTTCAATCTTCCTTCGACCATCAGCCTCAACTGTACAAGTTGCTTAAAATAGCTATTTAAGGGTTATTTCTTCTCTCGGGATAGTCAACGGCTACACTCTTAGGTAGGGATGTTAATTCGGCTCCCTGGATTGGAAGACCCATGGATTGGCCCATAAATAGATCGAGCATACTCTGCTCGTGCCCCCATGGAACCAAGCCTCAATTCCCGACGAAGGCTGGAGCCCAAGTAGCAAGCTAAAATGGTCCGTGACATGACATTTTGGCCCATGTCACATGCCTGTATTTGCCTGCCTAAGCTTCAAGCAGCAGCTGCTGCGCTGCCCGCAAGGTTGCAACCTGTTACATATCATGCAAAAAAATAATAATAAAAAAAAAAAAAATTTGAGCCAATAAAACCCGAGCCTAAAGCCACGAGTCAAGCCTCGATATTTCGTCTGAGCTTTGGCTTGGCTGAAGCCAAAAAAACCTGAGCCATTTTTTGCGTGGGCTGTGCCCGAGTTACAAACTTCGGCTTGCGAGCTGACTCGATCCGACTCTTTTAGATCCTTACTCTTATATTATATCATGAGAAAGGTTGAAACATAGCACTTCTAACTAATCTGGGATTTCTGGTTCTTATCCCATTCGTTTTCATGTCAAAATCACAAAAATTACACTACACAAATGAACAAAAAACAACCTAGTACCTTAATCCTTGTTTCAATCTATTTTAACTGGCCTTTTTGGTTCATTTATTTGTATGATGTACTCATTTGGACTCCAATATCTTCCGGTCACAACCTCTACTCGAACTGGTGCAATTTAATTGGGATTCGATACAATTTTCACGATGGACAAAAAATCACTCTTATAGTAAACTCTCTTTTGGCTCTCACCATTTCTTCGACCCTCCTGTTACGAGAAGTTCAAGAAATCAGCCCACTTAAGTCAACAAAAAAACGAAAAATCACAAAAACTGAAAACTGAAAAAAAAAATAAAAAAAACACAATGAAGAACA